AAAATTTTAATGGAAGAGAAGAGGGATGAGGTGAAGTTTCAAGTGAAGATGAAAAAAAAAAAAAATTGAAAGTGATAAACTTATTTTTATTTTTTAATTTACATGAAACGAAAATGAAAGGTGATCAATATACAATAGCTAGTGACAAGGGCATAAAACCATCAATAATGAAAACATGAATAAAATGAAAGGTTTAAAGTGATTAAATTTTAAATAATAACTAAGGCACAGAAAAATGTTAAAATTTAAGAGAAATTATAATAGGAAATTGATCTAAATATAGATTTTTATGTTTTTAATTCGAAGATTTGGTCCAAATTTAAATTCTTATTAATTCAAACATAACATTAAAAGATTAATATTCTGCTTATAAAGCGGATAATTCGTGTATCATCTAGATTTTATTTACCCACATTCCGAGTTCATTAATTTAATTATACAGTAAAGACACAAGTGTGATGAATTTCATTATTTTTCTTAAAAAACATATTCTAGTCGGTGAGAAGAAGCGATGGATATGAGAAAGCAATATTTCATAATGTTATGAAATATTGGGCGACATGATTAATTGACATTTTTAGGCCACAGCATGGCCAGTTAATTGACCTGACGGGAACGTTTATTTACACAACAAAATACAAAACAAAGAAACATTAAGATGAAGTGAAGGCGTTGCCCATGAAACTGACTTTTCAGACGTACGTCCATTTCACACCACGCCAAAAATGACTTCCACTGGATTCACTTCTGCACTTATACTGTGTTTGATTGGAGAGAAAATATGAGAGGAAATAACATTAAAAAAAAAAGAAAAAAATGCATTTTTTTTTGTTTAGATGAAGAAGAAAAAGTGAAAGAAAAGAAAAATTAAGAAAAAAAAGGTACGGACCGTTGCATTTCCCACTCAACTTTTCTTTTAAAAGGTAAAAAAATTTTGAAAATAAATTTTTATTTTTACTACCTATCCTCCCCTCTCTTTTCTCTTTTACCCGCTTTAATTACATTAATTTTTCATAAGTAATTAGATTTTGATCTCATGAAAATTTGAGTCTTTAGCTTTCAAGAATTAATTTAAATTTAACAACTGATTGTAATATAATTTGATTTAATGATGTTGATTTTAATATAATTAATTTGATTTCAAAAAATAAAAAACAGAATTTGCATCGTTCGCTTTCTATATTTTTTTAACAACTAATTTGATTGTAAATTAATTTGATGATGTTAATTTTAATATAATTTATTTTTTCAATTTATTTTTACAAAGATAATTACATTAGATATGATATATATTGATATAAGGATATTATAGTCATTATAATATTTATTCATTTTCTTTCCTTCCTATTTTCTCCTATCCATCCAAACACAATGAATGATAACATTTTTTTTTTCTAGTTTTCTCTTTTTTTCATTTTGTTTCCTTCTATTTTTTTTTCTTTTAACTTTTCTTTTATCTAAACAGAGGGTTAAAGATAGATTGTACTGTATCATCTGCCTCTTATAATTTACCTTTTACCGTTATTACTTTTATATAACACGATAATAATCGTTTTCTTTAATTAAATAATTATTAAAGATTGTCATATGAAATTAAGAAAGTATAAAAAATTAAAATTTTAGAATGTATAATGTACATAAAGAGTGTTCTGATGATCATGTGTCTTTTATTTTCATTTCTGAAAAAAAATATTTTGATGTATTTTATGGTTTTATCATTTGATTGTTTTTTGCATATTTTTAAAACATATTAATGGAAAATTATAATTTTTAACCTCTATAATTTTTTAATTAAAGATTTAATTCTTAAAGTTGTGATCAACTTTAACCCTATTGCTTTGGGGATAGCGTGCCAATGATGTGACAATAACGTTTGGCTGTAGTAGAAGCTTTAACCAAAACCAACTGTATACTTTTTATGAACTGATTCCTTGATTAAAAATCTGTACTCTCCTAATATTAATTATTTTTGCATTATTTTACCCTTATTAATAATAATAAGACCATGCAAAAGAGTATCAAATGGTACAAAATAAAAAAAGAGGTTACTAAAATATTATATTTTAATATTTTTAGGCTGTTTAATGAATTTCTTAGGTGCCATTTGGTTTAATCCATGGACAAAATCCTTTTCATGACGTGAAAATATTAAGATATACGTCTCGTATCTATTACTCCCCCTGTTTCATATATATATAACCAACTCAATGGCTTATATTTTTGGACCAAGTGGAGTTTTAAAAAATGCCCTATATTATGATTTCGATGAAGTAATGGTTTTAAAATAAAACGTAATAATTTTTAAAAATTTTATCACAAAAAATTCTTTACCATTCAAGAGAGGTATACAGATTTTATTTAATGAAAATTAAAAATATATGATTTTAATAGATAATCTTTTCGTTAAAAAATATAAAGTATTTTTACTTAAATTTTTGCACCAATAAAATAGTTACTCCTTCCATTTAAAAAGTAAGGTATTTTTAATAGAGCGTTTCACTTTAAAATAAATAAGTGATTTATTTATTATGAAAAATTTTGAAAAAAAAATATTAATTATATTTCTTGAAATATTAAAAATGACCTATATTTTTAAACATCCAACTCTTAAAAATACCTTATTTTTTTAAATGGGGGAGTATAAAAGAGAGTCTTGATGGTATTATAATGATATGTTAATGCATTGTATTTAATATTTAATTTAATTAACTTATGCTCTTATTATAATTTAATAGATATTAAAAGTTATTTTTATAAAAATATTGATATTTATTATAGACATAAATTATGTGCCTGTTGATTTATTTTGCTAGGTCCGTCGCTGAGTGTATACATGTGTGTATATACACACACATTCAAAAGTAAGGATTTTCATGGGTACATGTTTGAATATGGAATATTGGAATATTCTTTATTTAGAATCCATCTTCAATTCTTATCATCAAAACTAGCCTCAAGCAAGGGAAAAGTTTTTAATTTCTTCTCCCCTTTTTCTTTGTTGTTCATTATGAGGCAACTGTCTCCACTCCCCATCACGTAACTTTGCTTGTTCCTTCCAACACTTGCCTTCCCCAAGAAGATTGAAATGCCTCATCTTTTCCCTCTTGGTACTCCCAAACTCTCATTAATGTCGTCCAAGTAGCCATGCCCATTGCTGCTTCAGAACAAAAAAAAAAATATATATTTTCATTGCTTATTAAAAAAAGGCATTTATTAGATAAATCTACTTTCAATCTTAGCATAAAATACTCCATCTATTCTTTATTAATATAGGCACCTTATAAAAAAGATGAGTGTTCCCAGTTAATTATTACAAGTAACATGATGGGATATTAATTATTTTTTAATTTTCATACTACCTCTATTTACAACTATTAACTATAAGAGAATATAATGTAAATTCAGTTTTTTTATTTAACTATGGGTTAAAAAATTATACTATTTCCAAATAAAATTAATGATTTAACCACTTATGGTGATGAGGTGATTAGAGGTGGAGTGAGCAACGTTGTCCTAAACATAATTAATGGCTAACCAGCAGGAATTCAGATTCTCTATTACTACTTTTTCCTAATTTCTAATTTCTAATTTCTAATATTGTTGGCATGCACTTACAGAAAATATCGAAAGGCAAAATCTTACAAAATAGTATTAAAGAAAATCCGACAGCAGCAGAAATAGCATACGATTGGATTTTCAAGGAAGACGATGGTTGTGGGTTAGTGGGGTTCGTCACTCGTAGATTGTTAATGTCTATCTACCAAAACATCCCAACAGAAAAAAAAACAAAAGAAAAAAAAAAAGAGAGCATTTAAACGCCCATCTCGTTCATTCATGATTCAAACTACTTGTATTAATGCCTTTGTGTTTCTTTTCCACAACCCTCAACTACTTGCCCTTTCACTTGGGTTTATGTTCCCTTCTCCACTCCTCTTGTGATAAACCAAAAACAAAATTGCTTTCTACTTCTTCCTTTTCACCTAAGTTAACCAACTTCACATTTATATTATCCTTAAAATTATTTAAAAAGTATTTGACTTTTCAGTTTTATCTTTTGCTGTTATTTGAATGAAATGACAATAAATAAATAAAAGATAAAATTAAAAAAATATTAATTATTCTAACTTTTTTATGTTAGTATCGGGGACAAAAATAAACTTTTAAACTTTGTCTTATATCAAGTTTTAAACTTTGTCTTATATCAAGTACGGGATGGGGTTAACATTTCCTCCACCCTTTTGTATTAATCATCTTCTACAATAAATTGAGTATTTTATATATTAGTAACTTTACATAAAAAATAGGACATTAATGATCAGATATTTCCAAAATCACTCCCATCCAGAACTCCCCGTAAAATCACTCTTACTTTTAGATCTTTTTAACTACTTAACGACCTCTACTTGTATATGGTGAGATAAGTAGAAATCCCCACATTTAAGGCATGAGTGACTATTATCCAAAATCTAAACGTGAGTAAACTTAACCTAATGTTAGAAGTAATAGTCATCAACTCAAGCTTTGAGTTTTTGAATTAATATATAGTGTCCTCCACTTCTGACTTCCGTGTTCTGCTGCTCATTGTTTTTTCGCCAACCCATTCTTGAATACGTTAGCTGTTACTATTATTTATAAAAATGTTAAATATGTGTACTATAGAGTGGGAAGAGATCTTAAAAATTAGAAATATAACAAATGAAGGTGATGTTTAATACAAAAACATTGGGCGTGAACATTGAAAATTGTGATGTTCTGTGGAATTGGAAGCGAAAGTAGTGTGGTTCCTTGAGAACTAAGGAAGCAAGTGAGATGGACAGAGTTAATTGGGGGTCGGTTCTGCACATTTATTGCAATTTACCAACAACTACCCAATCCCATTAATGTCTTCTCTCTCCTTCCTCTTCTCCTTCCTCCTCGTCCACAGCCACCATTCCCAGCTACTCATGCTTGCCATAAGAATATCCTCACCATTCCCCTCCAATTATACCTCCTCCTCCTTCTGCATGAGCCTTCTTTCCTCATATATCAGTCAAAATCCTCTCGTCACACATAATTCATTTCTCTCATTCACGCTTTTCTCGCTCTCCTTTACCCTTTAAATGCCTTCCCTTCAATCCTTGGCTTTTTCATAATTCTCACCCTTCACTGTCTTTTTACAAAAGAAAACACTGGTGTTGCTGCTGGTAAAGATCGGAACTTCTGCGAGTTAGTATTATGGAGATAGAGGCCAGCAGGGCGGTCGGTAATAATGGGACGTCCGCGATCCCGGCGCTGAGTCCTCTCAGCGAGACGCTGTGGGAGGGGGCAAGGCTAACGTCGACTTCGTCGGAGATGTGTCGGCCAGGTTGACATGGAAGGATCTCACCGTCATGGTCACCCTTGGCAACGGAGAGACCCAGAATGTCCTCGAAGGCCTCACCGGCTACGCTGAGCCCGGCACCTTCACCGCCCTCATGGGCCCCTCCGGCTCCGGCAAGTCCACTCTCCTCGACGCCCTCTCCAGTCGTCTAGCCGCCAACGCCTTCCTCTCCGGACAAATCCTCCTCAACGGTCGCAAAGCCAAGCTCTCTTTCGGCACTGCAGTGAGTTTCACTCTTTTACACACACACACCACACACACATCTGTGTGCGTTCTTCTTGTTACTGTGTGACTGTTCATCTTCTCGTTTCCTTGTTGACGCTTGATTTGTTGCTTTATTCTTGAAAAAACGTTGAATCTAAAATGAAGAGACAAAATAAGGAAAAACAGGTAAAGAGAAAACGAAAAACTTGAATGAGATTCCAACAAGTGAGGAACGGTTTGATTCACTGATTGTTTGAGATTCAGTATTCAGAAAAGTTTCAAATAATGACAAAATAACATTTAACCAAAAAAAAAAATCATAATAAATTTGGCATAAAAACAATGAAGAAATCTGGTAAGGGCATTGTTTTTTGCCTCCTCCCGTTCGGGGTATTTTCCCTTTCAAGTAAAAGGTGTTTGAAACGCAGGCATATGTGACGCAAGACGACAACCTCATAGGAACCTTGAACAGTACGAGAAACGATATCGTATTCGGCTCGTCTGAGGCTGC